CCTCGATAGTTTTGCTGAAGCCGCTCAAGTAAGCAGACATTGTTAGGAGGACGTAGAATCAACAATTCCAACGCGAAAAAGAGCCCCGGGACTCCCACCGACGCCGACAACAACGCAATTCAATGGTTTGTTTATGGGCGACGGCGGGCTTCTTGCCCACCATCCTCCGCGCATGCGCGGCGCCGGTGGCGTCCGCTAGGGGCGCTCCGGTTTGTTTGTAAACATGAGTTGGTGTATAGGACTTTATATGTGATTACGCATCGAATAAATCCTGTTTATCTTTGACTTCTTGATTACACTGACTGACCCCATTTGCCATCCTGTTGTTAGGCGCTATCTCATTCTTGTGTTTCCCATAGGTACGGTAGACGAACGACGCTGTTTTACTGCCTGGGTGCAGCAAACTTCAGTCAATGCCACATCTTGATAGAAGCCATCAAGATGTGGCCTAAATGTTCCGCACGAAACTCATCGGCCTTGTCTGCGTTTGCCGGACACTCACTATCAGCATTCCTTCGCTTCTTTGAACCTCATTTATAGTTCATTGCATTTTTTTTATTTTTTTACGCAGGCTACCACTAATTGGGCCTCTGTACCTCTCGGGACGGACTAAAGAATACCAGGTCGCGATGTATCTCGCCCTCTCCTCACAACGTGTCATTGTTATGGACGCCTTCTGGAGTTGGCGACGTCGTTCGCTCTGCGGCGAACACTGAGCAATTGTGGCGGTATTAATAGCCGTCGAGAGGCACCATTCGTCACGCCGGGGATTGGCGGTCGCGGTGGCTCCTGCCGTTCCTGCGGTACCTCGGGTTGGCCCCCAGTCAAGAACACGTTTCTGCGCTACCCGCAAAAGTGAGAGAGAGAAAAAGAAAAAAAAGAAAAAGATCAAGGTGGAGGCTACCCAAGGATAGACGCCCTGACGATGCGCGCTTGCACATCTTTCTTTCATTCTCTTTTCTTCAAAGCGAGTCTTTCAACTACTGTGTCCTCCTACTTTCCGCTTGTTTTTTTTTTTTTTTTTTTTGCTATTTCCGAGTATTTGTTTTAAACGAGATGTTGCCTTTGTAAACTTCACGCAATCAACACTAATATGTGATATTTTAAAATAAAATAGAGATACTAACGATGTACAGGGAAGAAAGCTGTGACAAAAACAAAATGGATCTGACTGATTTCGTTGCAGTTAAGTATTTCCGTAAATAACCGCACGTGCCACATAGTTTCCTCCGTCCTACGCGGGAGGCGAGGCCGTGGCTTCGAAACTAGAAAACCGCGGAGAAGGACCCACAAAGAAGCGCTTCGATAAGAAACCTAAACCTAGAAACACGTCCGAATTGAGCTTTTTTCTTTTTTTCGGAAGCCGGAAAATGCTGTCCTTGCCTTATATCTTTCTTAAATTAAGTAGATGTAGTGGTTTTCGAAGATGCTTAAGAAGTTTCTCATTTCAACCATATGTTGACTTTCCTAATTTAAAGTTAATGAGTAAATTTGAGTTAATTATTTATCTAATTAGTGTGGTTTTGCAATCCTGATGTCCGCCGTGGCTGGCAGTTTGTTCCCGGAAAGACCTTTTTTTTTTTTCTTTTTTTTTTTGGGGGGGGGGAAGATTTTTAAAAGCCTTCTTTCAGACACCTGGTATATATAAAACAAAGTTATATTCTGCTGCAGTCGACAGCCAGGCAGACACTCCATCCCACTGCGTTATCCCTGCGGCACCGCATATACGTATAGAACAACGTATAGTATATGGCGATGTTATTGCAGCTTTCCTGCACCAGCTCGGTTTATCCCTACCTATACAATCTCTTTCGTTGCGTTGTTATAAGGTAGAACAATTCCCACGTAATGTGCATAACACAGATAGGCATCCCAAGAGCATTGTTGGAGTGGAAGGCAGTTATCCTAGACTGAGAAATGCCAACTAAAGGAACACGTGTAAGAAGTGACAAAACTCCGTCTAGTTCAGTGTTCAGATATTTACTTCGTCAATCTACAGTGTGAGCGGAACGGCAACGAATCGTGAACTTTCGTAACGTTAGCAGCAGTGGCGTTGCCGGGAATTTTTTTTTTTTTTCGATGGGGTGAATGGACGCTCTTGAACCTTTTCCCGATAAGCAGCGATCTGTTCTAGAAGCCGAGCGGATGACGCGGGTAGGGTGCCAGTTGCATGAGCGTTCCTGCACCAACGATCATTTTCGAGCTACGCGTTTGCGCCTGCAGATTTCACAACGCGGTGTATTATTAAACCTCGATTAGTCGCAAATCACGATATGCGTTGATTAATGTTCTGCTTGCGCGAGCGGATGCTGGCAACCGGACTGGTCGTTACGTCACAATTGAGGCTTGCGGACTTCAATGACAATGAGGCACCTCGGCCGGCGACAGACACCACCACATCACTCGCTCTTATGACATGCGTGGACTTATTTTGCGCAGCGATCATTCGCTCAGATACGCTGCGAAGAAGGTATAGGCGCTCCGTTCGCTGCGTTTCTAGAGTCTTGCCCGAAGCGACAATTATTTCCCTCGAGCAAGGTCGATTGCTGGAGGATACACAGCTGATGCAATGCTCCGATTAAAACTTGAAGGTTAACCGATACGTCGCGTGAGGTATAGCCTTTTAGCACGCGGTTCGCCTAAGGAGGAAATTGACCTTGCAACTTCGTGAAGGGTTACATCACGCGCGAAACATATGAAACCAAGGAATTCTGAATTTGATCTCTAGGTTTCTTATTTTAGGTTATCCTTGAAGATTTATGGTAGCAACATACGCGGGTGAAAGGGTCGCACGCTATGATATGAGTGCTACTTATCGCTAGCTTCGCCGCATTATTTGTCTTAAAATAGTCAACTGGATGCAAAATGCCACATGAAAAGCAGGGCGGCTCATCGATCAAGTGTATCCCACGAGCGAGTCGTATGCACACCAAGTGAAGGAGAATATTAATGTCACAGATAAAACTGTTCATATTTTCTGTTTGTTACTCGTAACAGGTCGGTGTAGGGAGAAGAACGTACATTCTAATCCGGTTGACCTTACATGAGAAAACTACGAGTACAACCTTCAGGCATGCGCCATACAAATGCACTTCTTTGTTGTTGGTTGTTTGTTTGTTTAGCGAAGCAGCACTATTATTTTGCGATTTTTTTGTTCTTTTACCAACAAAAGTATGATGTGACTAGACCCCTTGCCAATGGCCATCACGAACTTGATTCTTCAGGCGTCAATAGCTCTTTCGAGCGCACTCTCCGGGTTATTTCTGCCCTCCGTCCAACCCGCAATCACTCGCGTCATCTTCGGCTTCGCTGTACAGAGTCGAGCGCTAGCCGCGAGTCCGACGGGCAAGACCGGTCGGTGGCATTTCGGAGAGCTGGAATCAGCGGGGGGATTGTTCTTGCTTCTGGCCGCGGACGTTTATCTCTGGAGTCCCGCCGCCCTCTTCGCCTTCAGGCGCTTGGTCGGAGACAGGCGGCATTGCATCGCGCTCGCGTCTCGATTTAGCACCGCGCCCCTTCCCGCCGCGCGCGCGGGTGCAGCGAAAGGAACAAAGCACCGCACGTGTTGTCTCTTGCCAGCGAACGTCTTGCATCGCCAAACTAAACGACACATTGAGCGGCAGTGCACTTAGGCTGGGTGTCACTGAAACTGCCGTAGTCAGTGACTGATCCCAAACGACAGGCAGCTAAGGTTTCGACTCGACGGGAGCTAGATTTTGCGCTGCAGAACACAGTTACTGTCGCGCGGTCGGGGTTAGGGGCTGGGACATCGGGAGATACAATCTGTTGTCCCCAATGATACTTACGACCTCGTGACGATAAAAACAGAAGGGAATTATCCTGAACTGCCCAGACTGTTCCATCTCCCGCTTGAATGCGCTGTTCTAGATTGTGTTTCGGCTCGCAATGTTCAACAGCAGCCGAAACTCTATTGAAGGTAGCACTCACGCGAAAAGTGACCGCGCCACTAGTGACGCCCCCCCCCCCCCCCCCCATTATTTCTAAGTGCTTTGAATTCGGTTTAACAAATAAGACCCTTGATTTACAGGAAGGTTGAAGGCCTTAAAAAAGAACTCCTTCAAGCCGGGATCCCACCACATCATACAAACGACAGTCTGCAAACAGACTCCAACTCAAATCACCACGAGATCCGTGCTTTGAATGCCGTATGGCAACGAGTTCAAGGAGAAACTTAGCACGCGGCATTCGAACCACAGATATCGCGGTGACTCGTGTTTTGCAGATTGTCTTTTGTATGACGCATGAGCAGTGTGACCCCGGCTTCAAATAATCGGCGAACCGGCGCACGTCGATGGGCACATGCAGAGCCGAAATCGCGAACTGCCAGGGGGGCTATGTTCGAGAAATGCTTCGTTTCTCCTAAAAAGAAACGGAAGTGACGTAAGGGACGATATCGCGTCTGATTGGCTAGAAGCTCAAATGACGAAAGTTGCCTCTTTCGTCATTTGAGCCTCTAGCTAATCAGACGCGATATCGTCCCTTGCGTCACTTCCGTTTCTTTTTAGGAAAACGAAACATTTGTCGAGGATAGCCCCCTTGATTTCCCGATGGTTCAAAAGAATTCGCTTTAAAGGCCTTTAACGAGCCAGTAAAACAGTGGTCCACTAAGTGACGTAAACCGACATTTTCTTACCCGCACGCCATTATATATGTGGGCCCGAGTGAAGCGCTCTGTCATGTTTTGGAACCGTCAAGAATACGCCCCGAGCAGAATGTTTGTTGAGTCTACGCCGGAGTGATAATGATAGTGATATTTATTTTAGCTCAGGAGAGCCGCGGCGCCGTAGAAAGGCAAGTGGCGAAGTAAAGAATAGCTGCATCTGTTCTCATTCTTTTGAAACTACGTGCTCGACACGCCTGTTTCGAAAATAGCAAGTATACGACGAAAATTAAAATAAAATTGGCACCGAATCTACAGTTACAAAAAAAGAAAAAAAAAACATTTTCTGCGACTGCATTTGAAATGTCCGTCGCACTGAGATTTCAGAAAAATGACCGGCGGTGACCGCAGAGGCGCCGTCCCACGCGCTGCCTTGTGCTGTGGAAAGCCTGGACGTCGCGTTTCGCCCTCGTCGCCCTTCGGCGGCGTCCAGGGGGCGCGCCGCACCCGTCGCCCGCGTTTAAACTTAGAACGAGCAGGGGTCCCAGGCGCTGGCCACCAAACGAGTCAGTAGAACGAACCGCTGCTCCGTGTGCCCCTAGGCTCCAGGAGCTCTGTCCGACCGGCCAAACCCAACGATCCTCAAAACACGACTCCGCTAGACGACAATGGCGCCCCGAAACTGGAAGCGACCCTTGACTCTCATCTACAACGACAACTACAAGTACGGCAACAGCCTCTACTCGGGAGCCATCGACGACATCGAGAAACGCTACCAAGCGTCCATGTCCAGAACGGCGTTCAGGTCCGACCGGGGCGACCTGGGCCTCACGACCTTCTCGAGCTCCCAGATCGGCTCGGCGCCTGAGCCATCGTCGTCGCGGCCCACCACCAACGCGAGCGAGCCTGAACCGACGCTTCTGTCGCCGTCCTTCTCGGCACCTTCCAGGTCTCCGGCCAGGTCCGTGCTGGACATCGACACGGACCTGCGCAAGGCCCGATCGTCGGGCGACTTCGGTCGGCTGCGAAGCTCGTACAGGCCCACTTCGTGGAGCGACGACGAAGACCTTGGTCTACTGGATGACCCCGGCTACTCGAGGAGGCGCAGGCGTAGGCGCCAGGACAGGAACGACTACCTCTTGACGTCCCCGTCTGCTGCCGGCGGAGATTTTTACCTCGAGAAATGGTGAGGGTTGGCAAGCGAAAACTGCGATCTCTTTGCATCGCACGTATCGTACTTGACGTCGCGCGCCTTCAAATTGAGCGCGCGTACGTATATTGACGCGTATTACAGAGGGCGCTGATGTGCACTAGAGTGGTCAGTGCCCTGCCGCGCATGTGGTGAGATATCAAATTCAAGCAACGGTCGGTTTTCAAGTGCCTGCTCCAAACGCCTCTTTCCGTCTTTCCACTCAAAACCTAAGAATAATCCTGTCTTATATTTCAACGGTTTAAAAAGTGTCTACAGGTTGTTGTTGTTGTTTTTTCTTGGAGAGGGGGGGGGGGGGGGGGGCGTCACAAATTACGTAATGCACAATAAGGCACGCGACATCACGGTGTACATCGCAGAAAATTAGTGGCACTTATCATCCGTATGCTCACTGAACGCCGTCATATTACAGTAAATTCGAAACACCAGTTGCCCATAGTCCACGCAGGGTCCGTGAGACGACACCACTATGCGCGCGCGAGGTACTGGCAAACGCAAAGTGGTGACTTCTCCACACGATGCTCTGTGCGATGCTTAGTTACAGCCCCTGACTGTCTAAACTCTGGAAAGAAGCCGTTTTTTTTTGTTTTTTTAACAGCAGATGCGGTTTAGTTGGAACGAAGTCACGTATATATATCTATACCGACTACAGCCGAAAGAGCGCGACTAGTATGAAGGGTGGTCTGGCACACCAAAGCAATAGTTCATTCTCGTCAAAACAATTAAAACATAGAAGAGGCCCAACTACAGCTGTCCTGAAAGCAATTTATGCAAAACGGTCTGCCAGAATGGCAGAGGTACACGAAAAAAAAGAAAAAAAAAAGACGAGCAACAGTGGATGAGAACGCAATAGAAGTCAGGAAGGCATGTAGGTACAAAACGAAGCAGGCAGCCAAGGTAGAGGTTTTACGGCACAGAAGCCGGAGGCGGCGGCATGGGGGAGAGATATCAATTTACGAGTGAGCCGGACAAGAAACACGAGTCTACGCTGCTCGCTCTCTCGGGCAGGATAATTAGGTAATCATACCTTCAAGTGTCGCAGAAATAGAAACGAGTGACTAAATTTCAGAAAGAAAAGATTGAAGCCGCTTTTTCGCAAGAAGTATTATCCTCTTTCGTCGAGTCACAGAAGAAAACAAAATGCATTGACCGTTAACCTTTATGTCCTACACTCGGTGTGTGTGATCCCCTCGAGCACGGGCATGTAGCTTTTGTATTTTTGGACCAGGGGAATGTGTTCGCCTACATGAACAAAAATATTGACGCGGTCAGGGCATCCCGCATGCAATCATGACTGGACGCCTTCAGGGCATCCCGCATGCAATCATGAATGGACGCCTTGTGTCCACACATGACTGCATGGGCGCAGTCATAACGGACTTTCATTTATAGCTTTAGAATGCCGCTTAAACAGAACTGGAAATATGCAAGCTTTACATTTTCGGTGGTTAGATCTCTCGCTTTGCGTACCCTGATATACTAATGTTGACGCACCGCGTGTGCCACCCGACGCGGAAAAAAATTAAGTTTTAGCATGGCGCTATCGTAACACCCTTTTTCAACAGTACTGTTATTGCCGTGCCGGAAGCGGGTCGAGAACGTATCGCGAAGAAAACTCCTTCAGCGAAACACCATCTTAAACCGCGCTACGAAAAAAAAAATAAATAAAAGAGGTAGTGTTGTTCGTGCTTTGTCTGCAATACGTTTCCGGCTCGGTTTCGCCATGACCGTAACCATAACGGTGTTACGGTAACGCTACGCTAAAACGTTGTAATGGTAGTACTCTGTGTCTGTTTTGGATCAGATGATCTCACAGCCCAGGAGTATTTAAATTCCGTGAGACTAGATAAATTTCTGGCACTGTTTTCTAGCATGTACTAGTGATGCGCGGCATTGTAAGGTTAGTGAGCACGCGTATGTACACCTAACGTGTCATTACATTTTCTGTTTTTATTCCCCAGAATTAGACAATCTCCTGGACCTTTGCACTCTGAAATCAGTGTGAATAACAAACACAATTTGCAACTCTAGCACATTCAAGGAGAAAGAAGACCACATTACAATCCAAGTAAATTGCACCCCACCCGCCCCTCAAAAAAAAAAAAAAAGTTAGGTTAGATAAAAGGAAGGATAATCGAAACGTCTTGTTCCCTCCGTTCATGTTCGAGCCCAGAGAACGGCGTGATTCGATCGGCAATTGTTTTCGATCATTATGTTTTTGTACAAATTCCAGCTGGAGTTTTGATTCGAGGTTTGACAGCTATGTTTTGATTTGAGGTTGAACACAAAGGGATCAACACGCGAAAGCGTCTCATACTGCGCGGGGAATCCACATTTGCGACATGCGGATTTCTATTCAGTGCATTGATCGAAGAACCTTGGCTATAAAAACGTACCCTGCACGCCTAAGTCTTTTTTTTTTTCTCTCTTACTGCATTAACGACATGAAGCTTTCTTCTTTTTTTCCTCAAGGCATTGTTATTGGCTTTCCCACGCACAGTTCGCTGTCATTAATTCACATCCGGGCTCCATCATAAATCTCTCAGGCCGCTTGTTAGTCGCTGCGCAGCTCTGTGCCGACATTCCACGTCCGAATAAACTCCCGCGGCTGCTCGCCGGAGAATGGACGTGGTCGACCCGTGCCCTTGTCAAAGGTCGTGTGCAGGATGCTCCCCTTCTCCTCGGGATCAGGACCTGTCCCCCGAGGTTTATTTTAAGTGGAGTACCTTCCCCCCGGAGCGGCTGATTCCCATCTATCTCGACTTCGGGGCTTGGAACGAGTCCAGAAGATCACAGCGCTGCTATAAAAATCTCGACTCGATCTTGTCTCCTCGCACACACGCGTACGCACACAATGAGAAGTGGACTCAGCTGTTCAGTGTCGAAAGCGATCAGCTTTGGTCGCATCATGTCGGCTCTACTTTGAAACAGAGGGCGACGATAGACCCAAGACCGGTCGCACCCGTACGCGTGAATCTTGAAACTTCAAAGCGAAACTCACAGGAAGCCTCACATTGAAAGCCCGCATTTTAATAAACACGCCTACGTATATCTTTTGCAGCTCCTACACTCTAAAAAAAAAAAAAAGAGGGTGCAGTATTGCACCCATATGTCCAATATAATGCACCCCAAAACTTAAGTTTCACAGCGCACTGACCTCGAACTGCCGGTCCCAACTTTTACGAGGGGCTTGATAACGGTGCGATATAACTTTTCTAAACAGCCCAAATACGTATCAAAGAATACAAAAAGAAAATATCGATGTTTCGCAGTAGGGCCAAGAAAATCCCGATTCATTTTTATTTTTATTTTTATTTTTTTTAGACAGTAACACGTACATTAGCTATTTGAATAAGTTGTACCACTCGGCTATCATGTCGCTCGAAAGTGTTGGCACCTTCGGTTCGACGTCAATGCACTGTACGTCGAACTTAAGTTTTGGGCTAGAATACATGGGACAAGGAATGTAATTACTTCACCCCCTGTTTCTGAAAGTGTCGGTCCATTGAGAGCTTTGTCTTCCAGGACCGTTTTTGGCATAATTTGCTTTTCCGTCCCGGTAACTTTCGTGAGTGCGCCTGGCGTGGGATTTGAGTCAGCTTTAATTGCACAATGGCAGACCACAGTCATCTATAAAGCTTCCGCGAAAGTAGAAATTTGGTAGAACGTTCCTTCTTGAGGTGATGCCACAAGCAGATACACCATATCTATCATAACCTGTTATCGAACGCCCTGAGACGTTTCGGCAGCTCACTGCCGTATATTATATATGGATGATTTCAGGCAACTGCACATGCACTCAGTCGTAAGTATGCTCCACATTTTCTCCGTTTTATTTTATTATGCCCCGAAGAAGATGTCTCTGAGAAGAACCTCCATTATACACCTCTTCGATAATAAGTTTCTTTTTAGATCACTAGCATGGTCACACGAGAAATTAGGGACTGTTTTCATCGCGGTGTTCTTGTCACCGACATAGACTCTGTGTGGGTTCGTCATCCCCAGCAACAGTGGCTAACAGAGACACGATAAGGTCAAGATGGCGGCTTTAGCTCGGGGAGCACGATGATGTAATTAAAATAAAGGTCGCTTAACTTGTGCTGAGAATGAGAGGTTTTCTAAAGTCAAACGGAACAGGGGAAGACCACCCAAGGTGCTCGACTTGAACATTTCCACGCTTGCTGTACGAACCGTTTATCGAATCCTACGAAAGAAAACCAAAAGAAAACCCAGCGACTAATGTCTTGTTGACAAGCAATCCATCAGCGAAATCAACACCAAGAGCCGTCAGACAGCGCGTGAATGTATACGACGTTATCTTGCAACTACGCCGTTCGCGTAAATATGACGCAAAAAAGAAAAAAAAAACGCAAAAAAGAAAGGAAGCACGCACTTGTAAACGTAGCAATTGGTTGTTGATTCCTTTTCCATTCTCATAAAACAAGAGCATAAAACAACGCAAGAATTAGGGTTGGGGTGTGTGTGTGTGTGTGTGTGGGGGGGGGGGGGGGGGGGGGAGGGGGGGAGGGGGGCGATGAAGGGAAGGTTTCGAACTTGAACTTCAGCCAGGAAACGAAGCGAGTCCCTTCAAGAAGACGCGGACGGATCCTTTGCGCGCATTCTGTTTCGTCTGCTGTCTCCCTTTCTTAGCCCAAGGCTGTTGGGCTCAGCTGCTTGGAGTGCTTTTCGGCACTGGCGGTCCTGCCAGAGGGCACGAAGTTCGCTGCTTTCTAGTCCTTGCCCCGCCCACCCCCTTCCCTTCAGTGTTGGGGAAACATCCGTTGCCGCGATGCATATAGCTGTGCCAAAACCTTTGAGGCGTCGCCGTTTCCCAACAGTTCTCACCGTGACTTTTTCAATATCAACAACACCGTTAAAAAATAAAAATAAAAAAAACGGCAAACAACAACATATGTTTAGCGTATGCAGGTCCCGCCTCGAACGCGTGAAGTAACAGTCAGATGTCATCCTTTTGAGCGCTAATATATAGCGGGCTCTGGCGGTTAAAACAAACTTGTTGGGGGGGTATGTATGGAGCGAAAATTACCACGCGCCAGGCGCGGACTCTGCTTTGGCAAGCAAGCATAGCACGCGGCCAACGCACCAACGGATATGAAACAATATAATCCAGTAAGGGCAGTTTTATGCCTTGGAAGTGGTGGATCTGACCCAGAAGCACTGTTGCATGTATTGCGAGTTTGGCGCGTGCCAAATCAGAGCCCGTCAGGTCGCGCCTGACGGGCTATGATTTTCGCACGCTGGGCTGCGACTTGGAGCTACGCCACGGCGCTGAGAAGCATGGAGGTTCGTGTACATGATACAAATCGAGCAAACGATCGGGAGCCAAACGCGCCGAGTTTTATTCCACCCACACAAGGTGAGGTACTCCCACAGCGTGCTTCTTAGAATGAAGAGGTATAGCTCAGCTCGCTCCATCTATAAAACTGCCGTGTCCACGCCACTGCCTCCATAAAAAATAAATAAAAACGCACATAAAAAAGTTTTTGTTTTTGCAACAACAGACGCATCTGCCTTCGTAAAACTCTGCTGACAGCAGCATTTTTATTTCGTGCGTAGACGTCGTTTGTGGCTTTGTTTCGACGTCCGGTGATTATGCACGTTTGATGGGCTCGTTTTAGCTCACTGCTCTCGCAAACTTCCGGCCCACAACCGCAAGCAGTGTTTGTTGAAGCTGTCAAGCGTTCACTCGTGTTGATTTTGGTGAATGGCCGACATCACTTCCTCTCTGTCCGCTCTCCAAGACCGATTTTCTTGCACGCTGCCACAAATAGAAACAGGGCAGCTTCTAAGAAGAGATCTCTAGTTCCCGACAGCTTGAGCTCTGGAAGCGGCGGGCGCCAGCCATATACAGTTGTGATATTGACGAGCATAACTCGGACACACATACGGCGAGCCTTCACTTTACTGTCATGGTGGACAAAACAGACTTACAAACTATTTAGGATATACATAAAATACACAAGGCGTGACAAGCCTGGCCTTCTTTGTATCATTCTGGCCAATCATATCCCTTGCCTAAAATATTCGACGGTAGTAAAAAAAAAAAAAAAAAGGAGGCAAGAATGTATTTCTTTTTGGTTTTCTATTCATGCCAAATATAAGATTAGGGAGAAATAAAAAAAATTGCTGTACCTTTACTCTAGGTCAGGGCGAGGCCGAAGGCGCTAACACAACCAACCACGGACTCCAATTCCAGTTACCGAGGCACCCGATCAAAGCACAACGGCTTCTGACGAGACGTTATGTCTGGTCCAACGTCAACGCTGACGTCCGTCGCTGGGCGCGAAGCTGCGATCAGTGCCAACGTTTGAAGATCATACGGAACACGAGTACTGCACTGCAGCTGCCGTTTCGAATACCTAGCGCACATCATGACTACGTTCGCCTATGGATATCGTGGAACCACTTCCGCCATCCAAGGCTCCACCTACCCGTTCTCTTGTTCGGGTCGGTATACGTGATGGCCCCATACCAATACAGCTCGACGGCGTCACTGTGGCAGCCAATCCGGGCGGCCTCGGGCGTAACAAGTCAGATGGAAGCCAATCAATTTAAAAGACATTCTGACGATGCAGCATGGGGACAGAAGCGACAGGCATAAACATGAAGCTTGGTGTTCGTGTGTGTCCCCTCTGTCCGCACGCGCTCCAGGGTTGGTATGTCTTAAATTAACCGAACTCGCCTGCCCCATGGCCTTAACTTAGAAAATTCCGTTCCGAAACTGACCTTGCGCTGCGTTTCTTCGGTCGTGACTATTGGTCTCGTGCCAACGGTTTCCGGAAAGGAGGACGCGTGAGCTCTCGTCCTGACCGCAGTGCCGGAAAAAGGCGAGCTCATCAAGCGGATAGTTCCTCATCGTCTCCGAGGCCAGTTTCGTCTTGGAAACGTCAAGTCGGCAAAGAAGGAAAAATCCCGCATGAAAGTTCTCGCGTTGTATATATAGAAAGTATAATGGCCGCAGTAACTTGATTGGTTCTCTTCTTTTTATTTATTAATATTTTTACTACCGCTTTCACTTAGTGCGGCTCAGAAAATACACCCCACTGCCCGAGCGCCGACAGAAACTGATGGATATGATGTCGCTTACCGGTTTTATTGAGCCCGTGTCTGGTGTCCTTGGCAGGGCAGCTGCAGTTCTACTAATGCACTCCTTCGAAGAGGAGCGCAATTTATAACTTCGGACGCGTCTTCCTCGTGGAAAGGAAAATACGCGAATAAAAATAACTGCACGGCTCACCAAGAAGCTTCTCGTCATTAGAATCTAAGAGAGTTATTACACTCTCACGATGGTAAAAAATTACTTATAGTGTTTTTTTTTTTTTTTTTTGCTACGCTTTCTTTGAGCATGCGGTGTTTTCGTTTAATTTTTTTGACCACGGACAAGTCGGTTGCGTCATTTGGAAGTATAATTAGAACGCTGTTGATTTAATGCGCGACCGTAGATCATTTTGCACTTAGATGCTACTTTGTGGCGATAAGGAAAAGAACCTTACGATTGTGCCTTATCATACAATACAAGTTTATACAATTTTTATGCAGTTTAGTTTCTTAGACTGCAGGCAATAAAAAGCGAGGTTAATGGGGAAAAACTATGAGATTATAGCTAAGTGGCACGCGCTCAAGCAGGGTGCTGGGCCAAAAGGCCCGGCTGTATAGAAAACAAAGTGCGCGTATAGCATGACCAATACGGTTAAACGAGTGAAAACTGAAATAGTTAAAAATTACGTAGGGTCTGCCATGAAAGCAAAGGAATTAATCATATGCATACGTTTTTTTTTTTTTTTTTTTACGTTGTTGTTTATGTGCGCGCTATATCGGTGCATACTGTTTCCAAAATTTTTTCAGACAGCACTTAAACTTTTCCGCGAGACTTGCTAAAATCAATAAACAAAAATAAAGTAAGATCCATTGGTGGATCTTTAGGGAATGCGTTAGCATGACCCTTGGGAAACGCCACACACGTATCCCTTTGGGAAACGCTAACGCTGACCCCTTTGGGAAACGCTAACGCTGACCCCTTCCCTTTTCTGTTTTGGCTTTCTCTTTTGCTTCCTCTATTTTTTTGCGGCTTCTTTTTGGCTTCGTTACGGGGTCAGTCAGTGTGGCGTTTCCCAGGGTTCATGCTAACGCATTCCCTAAGGATCCACCAATGGATCGTCGTTAAATTTTTGTAGCACAAAAACCCGCTCCGCACACCAGCAAGTTCAGACTCGCCCCAGGATCCGCGCGCGTGCATTGGCTTCCGCCCCGTGACGTCGCCGCCCTCTCGCCTTTGTCCTTCTCTACTCTCCTCCTCTCTACGCGACGCGCTTCCCTTTTCACTTTTTTGTCCACAGACGGACGCCGACAGCTTCTCCCTGTCATGTGGGTACTAATGCTAAGGTATTAAAAACAAATTTGCCTTCTGGGTTTTACAAGTTTGTAAAACGTATATTCGATGGACGATGCGTTTGTTTACAGAAGGAGCAGTGACGGTCTATGTGCATAGCTTGAACGGCGTCCCAAGGTCAGCGGCAGTAACCGGCTGTCGCATTCCAAACTTGAAAAAAAAAATGTCGCATTGTATACACGCCTGAAAGCTGTAAGCGTTACCATTAGAAACACGTACGAGCAGCCCAGATGCCAATGGCTAGAGAGTCTTTTAAAACAAACACTGTTAAAAAAACAAATTAGTGTTATCTGGAGTATCTGACTTTGGTGCACGCCCTGCCTGCCCTTGTCCAAGTGCCGAACTCACGCTTGTCTGAATTGTAATTTTTTGCACGGTAGACGACCTTGTAAACGTAAGAGAGCTTCATGAGGCCGTTTCTGCAACCCTCGCACGAATGTGCTTCGTAGAAAGCGGAGCGAGCTATCCGATAGTGGGGGAGTGCCAGAAACGATCTGCAGTGGCTTTCCTCCGTTAAAGGGCTACAGTCCGCTGCCCTCCACAAGAAGCACTTCGCTGTGTTTCGTGCGTCAAACACGCCAAGCGACAAAGTTGTCTTTCACAACCATCATTTACTTTACCAGTTGTAAGCGAAACTGACCGCGCGTAAAATATAGCCTGTGTTTTTTTAACCCTTACTTGACACATGCTGTTATAGCCACCATGCTCCGTAAGCGTCCGTTGAAACAGCGCTAAATTAGCACGCGGTCTTACTGAACATGCAGTGTAACGTTTCAAAAACTAAGCGGTCGCCATATCTGCACGATTCCCTCTGTAAGACGCTTTGGAAAGCGGCACTTCGGGAACCTTGCGTCGTTTTAGTTCCTCATGTGTTGCTCCCTGCTTTTCAGCCGCGAGCTGAAGGGCGAGTTGGAGGCGTTGCACGGGCGAGTGATGGACGCCGAAAGCCGAGCCCGCAACGAGGCCGGGAACCTGCGCAGCAAGGTCCAGGCGGAGATCGCGGAGCTCAGCCTCCAGCTTGAGGACACCACCTTGCAGAATAACGAGCTCCAGAAAGCCGTCAAGAGGCAGGCCAAGCAGCTGCTGGTGCGTTCGAGCTAGGCTTCGTTCCGCTTTATCGTAAAAAATTCTGGGTCAGCGCCTCTTCTCACTGTTGGGAAATTTCTTGGGACACCGCAGAAGGCTATGCATTTTTTTTGTTTTTCTTTTTTGCTTATATTGCTATCAAAGTGGGGGCTTCTGCATAAAAAGCGATATGCGTGGGCTCTCATAGACAGTGAGAATGCCGCCAATCACCGCAATAAAATAAATTGCTTTACACGCGAGAGCGAGATTGTGGAAGAACGACGTCTGTCTGAAACATCCGCTATCAAGTATATTCGTCAAGGCCTCTGAAATGATTCACTCGCGTTGAGGACGGTGAGACAGATGATAACGGAATAGAAAGGAACTCGACTTGATTCGAGTCTGTACTCACATCGCTTTTTGTGATAAAACTTAAGCTGCCACCGTGAAAGAAGCGAGACCGCCGGTGGTCACAGAGAATAAAGGGACCACGAAATGAATTTTGGGCTCGAATAAATGATTTTAGATTGGAATTTCACTAATCACGTAGCGTTTAGTGGGTTAAAAGAAAACTATTACACGAGGGTAGAGAGCTAAAGATCTGACTTTTGGTACGACATTTTGAAAATATAGCGGACTATTTCTTACCTCCTTTCCTTCGATAGCCCTCCACCTTTTCACTGTGATTTATCCGCGGTACCCAAGCACCTCAGTCGAACCCAGCTCCCGTATTGGACACAAACACTGCGTCACTCGGACGTGTCCGCTCGTCAACAATCAATCTGTCGACGAAAACTTTGATTCGGGTTCGTGGCATATGAGTTCCGTGACATCACTTATCGTTACTTGCGAATGACAAGGTCCATGGTGCACTTAAAGAGCACGGTGGAAGCTTGGAGTCGTCACATTCCGAAACCAGCGCCGGTAAAGGTGACAATATGACATTACTCTTATTTACGTCGATGAAAGCAAAATCAAGCAGACTGGCCAGTCCACCAGTCGAAACTTGGCGAGAAAGTCTGCGAGAAATCCAGCTGCTATTATTGGCCGGCGCCTACGTCAAGTGCGACGTTGACCAATCACGTCCGCCAGATTTCTCGCCGACTATTTTGCCAAGGGTCCATATTAGGGCCCCAGGTCGGCAAGATGGCTGGGAGGGCTGTCACTGTAGCTCAACACTGATCGACGATCACACCAGACGCAAGGAACACCGGACAGCTAACCCCGCCGACCCTCAGACGGCTAGGAGAACTTCCGGTTCCGGTGACATACTAGGTCACAACTACGTGATTTCTCATTTCGCGTTTGAGTTGAGGAGGAAAGCTAAAGAGGAAGAAGTTGAAAAATGACTTCAGGGTCCCTTTAAAGAGCAATTTAGCCCGTACCAAAAGTTTAGCCCATTGAAGCTCTTATTTCTATGCAATTAATTCTTAAGTATGCAGTGTTTGCTCAGGAACATTTTAAAAGAGGCCTTAGTTGCGCATTATGAGCAGAATCTCGAGCACGTGACGTTACTAGACTTCGTTTCAGCTCAAGCCCAGACGTAGTCAACGCTACGAGCTAATGGGACCAATAAGAAAGCATCAAAAGCATGAGTCACTGGGCCTTTTCTATTTAAGATTGGTTCAGCGATGACGGAGCATAGACAAACATATGATGATGGTGCTCTTTCGAGGTTGTCTGCTTGGTCCCACCGTCGGCTACGTCTGAATTTAATTTGAAACAGATTATAGCAAGTTATATAGGCACGGTCGATTGATGTAAGTACACTCCAGTGGCGTGAGCACGGGAGTGTACTTACATCCTTCGCCGTCATATGGCACGTTTAGAATCCGCCCCGAGATTATGCGCTCAAAAAATTGGGACAGTCGTGTGTTTGTCCAGTCTCAAATTTGTTTGTAAATAATGCGTGTTCCGCTTGTGTCGGCCCCGTTTTGATCTGCCCCCTTTGGTCCTGCGTCGCTTCGGCGAAGGACCTGCAGGCTTACTGCGACGAGATGCAGCGTCACATGCAGGGAGCTGTTGACGACCTGTCCATGGCCAACAAGCGCTGCCTCGACCTGCAGAACGAGGTGGAAAGCCTGCGATCCAACCTCGAGTCCGTGAGTCGGTCTCTTCATTTCCACATCCCTACGTTTTCAGGCACGCGCTTGTTCCGAAAGGTCACCTCACAGGTGCTTGAGGCTCGGATGCCGGCGGTCGACAGCCGACACCAAACGGCCTCCGACGGTTAATTTTTACGGAGGCCGCGAAACGCTAACTGCCATTTTAAAGATTTTTTTTTTTATCAGGTATAGTGTATTGGCTTTTACTGTTCTCTTTTTTTTCCTTTTTTTTCTTTGCAGGAACTTAATGTTTTATTATTGTATCTTGTAACGCGAATACATGAACTAAAACAACAAATCGCTTTTGTGTTCATAAAACATAACTGAACCGCTATATCCCCCTCTTAATTTTTTTTTTTTATTTTTATTTTTTATTTTTGGCGCGCCGATACAAAAGAAGTTGAGCAGATGGAGCAATACAAAAATGGACACAACAGGGACTTTTAGCAAACCGTTACCGTGTTCCGCGCACCGCACTACCGGAGCCTTTCAAGCATGCTTTTAAGCGCGCGCCCGGGTAATCCCGTGACCGCGGGGCGCACGCTTAAAAGCATGCTCCAAAGGCTCCGGTAGTGCGGTACGCGGAACACGGGAACGCTTTGCTAAAAGACCCCATTAACTAAACATTTAGAGATATTACAAGAACGAACATCGGGTATGTGTAGTTTGCGCACAAGGGCGACTTTGTTTGCGTTTTGCACACGCCCCGTGCCTTCACCGGCGTCATCTCCTTGCTGGGCACGAATAACAACGATTTAATAGTTACCGTGCCAGTCACTCAGGAACGGACATATGTATCCCATGTTTTGCCTTCTGCATGATCCGCACATAATTTTCCACAATTTGTATTGTATTATCAACAGCACCACACTCTAAAAAAAAGCCCACGAGTCTGCTTTCCCGCGCAACACTCGTAGAGCCAGTCACCGCAACTTACGGAGACAGCTCAGCGAATGACGATGGCGAAACATATGTTTTGACTAAAAAACATAGTCTTAGTTGTAATATTAAGTAATGCAACCGTGACGTTTTGCACTGCTTAATGCGACAACTCTGACTACGTTTACTTGTCTAAACATATGTTTCGGCATCGTCATTCGCTGAGCTGCCTCCGTAACTTGCGCTGATTGGCTCTCCGAGTGTAGTGCGGGAAAGTAGACGTACGCACGGGCACTTCGTCCAAAAATAGTCCACGGGTGCACTTCGTCCAAAAATAAAGGCCGCAAAAAACTGTACCGAAGCAACTCAAAAGCCCTCCCGATGTTTGTGTTGAAAACACGTCCAACAAAATAGTCCACGGGGCGCAGCAAAAGCCGACAAAGCATCTTGGGGGAATACAAAATCTTCAGCTTTCACGTACACCGTGAGCGATATGAAGGTGAACAGCCCTCTTCTTGTTTTTGACGCTCCTGCAAGTTTTGACACAAGCTCTGTTCCAGAAGAGGGCTAGAACGCAAAGTTTAGACCCCAAGCCACGTACCATTTGAGACGTTGAGAGTTAATATAGCTTTCGGGAGCCGTAAAACAGGCAAGAAACCAGGTACGGTGTTCACCTTCATATTGCCGGCGGGTGCACATTTGAGTAGCTGGAAAAAGGAAAGGAACGTTCAGCCGTGAACGCTTCTGCCAAAATACTAGCTATCATTGGTTTTATCTGCTACGTTCAAACAGGAGGTAGTGTGTTGCGTAGTAGGTAGTGCGTTTCGGTTCTAGAGCAAAGTTTCCTTGAGCCTCGTTAACTGGTTAAAGCTGACGTATCACTGAAATGCGCATTCATTCGGCGCTTGTTTACCAAGAGATGAAAACCTAACACGTTTATGAGGAGGAAAACTGATCGTAAAGATCGGTAAATAAATCTATAAAAAAAAAAAGACAAAAAGGATAAAATTATGGTATACACCTCAGAAGGCCAATTACATCGAAAGTTCCACCGAACCTGACGCCGTCTGTGCGCAGATAGCTGATTCGGTGACTAGCTAACCGTGCTGAAACAGAAAACAAACTAGAGATAGACCTGCGTCGACGATGCTTGGAGTAATTTGACGTAATTTGAAGTAATTAATCAGCCGTGGAAGGAAGAACCCGTAAATGGCGGATGGGAACCCGAAAGGAGTGAGTCCGACGAGGCCTCTAAAATCGTTGTTGATATTTTGCTTAGAATGCAGCTTCTTAGAGGATCAATCTCAATTATTGCATCTATCCGACATGGCGAGTGCGTACGTTATTTGTGACCTAGGATGCTTACAATAAGGGGAACTTGTTATTCAAAGTTTGAATTGTGTGTTTTGCGTGTGCGTGTGCGTGTCTGCATTTTGTTTTGCGCTCGAGTAGAGTTCCTGCCCTGGTGAAGCTGGCTGTATACTATCCCGCGTGCTTTGAAGTTTCGCCAGGTTTCGATTCCAGAATGCGGGTAGACACGTCGCTAGTGGCCGCTAGATTCGACAGCAACAAGCGCAACGGCGAAGAAGGAAACTATGTTCCGTTTTACCTTGGCAATGAAAAAAAAAAAAAAAAACTTTTTGGAGCAGCCAAAAATTTATTTAGGAGCAAAAAAAAAATCTTTTGGCGTACAAGCATGGCACTTCATTTTTATGCATTCTACTGCAAACACTGCATTTCCATTCATGCGTTCACATGTGTGAAATCAAAAGGCAGTGCCCATTTGCCTTCCCACTTTGTGCAATGGTTAGTATACATTGCACAGCATAATTAAATTGGAAATGGAATTTAATTTTGCCTCCCAAAGGCATTTTACATGTAGAGTTTTCCGACGAAGCGGAATCTCCATGTGCACAATAATTATGCGTTAAAAAAAAGAAGAAAACCTAGCCTATCCCAATTTGGTGATTTCCAAGCTTCCTTTCCTCTTCTAAAGTTGCCTTTGTTTTAATTCAAACTTCGCTGACTGTGCTTCAAATATCTAAACCCCACAGTTAAACCTGCAGCGCACCCCATCTAACCCAATCGAGGTTATTAATCAACTTTTTCCATACACCCCAGTTAAAAAAATACCCTTCCTCGAATAAAAGAAAAAAGAAAGAAGACAATACCAATGACGCACAAAAATTGTCAGAATGTAGCAGTCTATCACATTTTGATTGGTTTAAAATTTATTTTGCGAATTTTACTGCAAGATTGGTTTGTCACATCAGCATTTACCAGATTGCTTTCTTGTTGTTGTTGTTGTTGTTTTTTTACACACGTTGGCGGAGCACTTTTTCATTCCTTATTCCGGAAGTGTTTAAAGCCTCAGTAGCACTGGTCCTAGATCAAACAAAAGCCAGGTTGTTAGCTGCTGACATAATGATAGAAGTATCTCAGGATACTCCTCCAGCATGTTCGAATTAAGCGGGTTTGCTTTACACATAAGTATGCTTCGAACATATCCGCAAGCAGTGTTTGTATGACCAATTTGACCGTCATACGAGAAAGACTTCAGGCAGCATCTGCTGGATGTCTTTTGTATGATGTAGTAGCAGCATTACCGCGGCTTTACCCTTTACCAGGAGGCTGAACAGCGGCCAAAGTGACGTAACGCAGAATCGCGATGTCGACTCGGCGGGTGTAGCTTCTCCGCAATGCACCGGTGTGGGGGAAAAAGCGCATTCCACGGAGCCATTTAACTCGACCGAAAACACAATGAACGACGGCAAGTACTTATCTCGCAACTTCCCGAGTTGACTCTAAAAAACGCCCGTGCGTCTACTTCCTCTACTTTCCCGCACAACTCTCGGAGAGCCAATCAGCGCAACTTACGGAGGCAGCTCAGCGAATGACGATGCCGAAACATGTGCTTAGACCGAAAAACGCAGTCTGAGTTGTGACATTAAGCATTGCAAAACGTCACGCTTGCATTGCTTAATGTCACAACTCAGTCTGCGTTTTTTGGTCTAAACATATGTTTCGGCACCGTCATTCGCTGAGTTGCCTCCGTTAGTTGCGGTGATTGGCTCTCCGAGTGTTGTGCGTGAAAGTAGACGCACGGGATTTTTTTTTAATTGTCCGTCGTGTTCGGTACGAAGATCAAACCGAGTAATACTTTATTCTAAGCAACGGTTCTCCAAACGTTTTGGCTAAGGGGTCCGGATTGGTGACCTGTCGCAGCCTCGAGGGCCGGATAACAGACAACATAAATTAAAATATGCTAAATTGAAAAAAAAAGCCTAAATAACCATTCAAATACAAACTTTTTAAACCAGAGCACAAATTAAAAAGAAAAAAAAGTAAGGTGGGTGAATACATACGTGTACTCTATTTGTATATGCGATATGTTACTAATTCTGACATAAAAAAAAAATAGTGACCCGGAGAACTCACTAGGCATAAATCAAAGTTCCTTTGGCATATTAACGGAGGACAGAATACTAATGAGAATGATAGATCTGATGAGGATGTGCAAGTGTTATGGCACAGATCACAGTTATAATAGATGAAACAAGAAACCTCGAATAGCATGCCGGTGATGAAAATGTACAACAAGTAATATGGCGAGAGAACCCACGTTCTGATGCTGATTTTCTCATTCCTTTTTATATCTTCCCTTCTGCCTTTAAAACGCCTAGAGGCGCAATTTCTTTTTTTTTTCTTCTTTTTTTCTTATTTTACGTGCTTATTTTTGCACTTGTAGCAGCGGGCCGTGGGCTGGCCGTCACTGGAAAGACGGCGATCATCCACTGGCCGGACCTTAAAAGAGATCTTTGCTGTAAGCTTAGAACCTATTCATGTTCTAAGCGATAATCGAAGGTTTGGACGATTCGTGCAAGGTTACTGAAACAAACCGGCCGTGTATAGACGCCTAAGGCATCACTTTCCGCGTAGTGATAAATCGAAATGAAGTTTTGGATTAATGTTGACGAAAATGCGTCTCATCTTAGCGAAAATTCGCTGGATGCAGTAGGGTGAGCACTTTGGCGTGTGTGGCGTAAGATGTCAAAGCAATCACATCAATGTACAGGATGCTGCACTATGAGCTGACACAGAAGCATTCCGGCCGGGGCAAAAGCCACGCGGGGGGTCCCAGGTGCCTCATGCCGCTCAAAAAAAAAAAAGAATAGACTGCCAGATTTTTTATGGTGGCATTGTAGCAATAAATTTAATAGCTTAAGCATGCCGGAGGTACCTCATGCGTCGCATTTGACCTTTTCCTGGTAGCACTGAAATGGGGCAGCTCATAGTGCCGCCGACTGCACCTTAGCCGGGAGCACAGCGAAAGTTGCGGACGCTGGATCAAAGCCTTGGAAAGCGCTTGATACTGCCTGCTAAGTTGTGCAGAGAAAGTCGTTCCTGATTTTCGTAAGATATCAATTGAAAATCTCTTCCCTCCTGCTGAAGCTGTCAGCACCTTCGAGTTTAATTTATCCCATGGCACGCCGTTGTGTTTTTCTTTCCTCAGTTCCTTCTCGTGAGGCAAGACCTACCTTTCCTACCTGCGGCCACTGTATTTACGCTATTTTCATCCTTCCTTTTTTTTTTTCCCCTCGCCTCTGCTAGCACTTCACGCCCTCTCCAATTCACAAGTGACGCTCCTGCGGCGCTTGTCCGAATGCCGGGAAAAAACGGGTAGAGGTGTGCTGTGGAAGGTTGCAGCATCGCGAGGCTGTCTATTGCGCGTATATTGTCGTCACGGTACTGTTCTGCAACTCGCGCTCGCAACCATTATCGTATACGAGTCGTAACTGTGTGAAGACAACCCTCGGGGGTATACGCGCAATTTATAGTACGTTGCATATATTCGGTGCACTGCAGTCTGCGATGCGACAGTGAGTTTGATGACAAACACTGAGAATAATCGAAGCCCGCGAACCTCCACGTGAAGTCATCACACTCGGATGGTGCCAACTCGGCAATTGGACCCGTGCCCGACGCTGCGCGCCTTTCGATTGGACACGAGGCCTATCCGAACACTGACACAGCACTTGTGTCCAATGTGCGTCTAGGCTCCTCCATTTGACTGTTCTGAGGTTGAAATGCTGGTGCACAGGGTTTGATTATTCTATACTCCGTTTCGTCACATGTCCGGGCGCAGTCAAAGGCACGAACACATACAACCATGAATACCAAAAGCGCAGGTCTCTGGGCCCTCCCCGTACATGATTGGCTTAGCAATGCCGGAACACGTGCAGAAACCTGGTGAACACCATGACGTTGCATTTTTTTTAGGCTGTTTGATTGGTTGCATCGTCGAAGTATAGGTGGTGTCGGCTTGACGTGAGCATGTGAAACGTCATTTCTCATCGCGCCGTGGCCTTCAAGTCTAGGCCTATAACATACTTTCGGCGATCGCAGTGTCTGACCTGACTCGCCAAGTGTTCTGCGGGAGAGTAGACGCAAGGGAATGTTTTAGGCTTTACGCCAGTACTATCGCGGACAGTAAGACCTGAAACAGACCTTCATACTTTTTGGGTGTAACCTGCAAGTTTTCTTTAAAGAGCAGTGGTCCAAATGTGAATGGAATACGAAATACGAAGTATGGTGTCTGTGCGCGTCTCTTTGGACTGTGTGCATTGTTAGAGAAAGTGCAGTTTTAGCATTTTTGGGTCGTTCTCGGAGGGCAAGGTCGTTTCTTTGTATTCAGATGTGAAACCCTTGAGGTCGCAGAGGGCAAAGTCGTGGTTGTGCTGAGCTACAACCTCTTGTGCAAATGTTTCCTCGCCGAGTTTAGGGCAAAAAAGGTTTACCCCCGTTTTGTTGAAAGCTGAGTTTTTTTGTTTTTTTTTTCATTCTTTTGTACTATTGTGTTCTCTTGCCGTGGGGTATTATAGATTTGGCGATTGTGGTGACGCCGTTGCAGACGTGGTATATAAGGCGTGTACAAAATAAACTTCGTAGCTGAGTTTGAGACGTTGCCTGTTCTTTTTCAGTCTTCATTCGCGTTTTTCATTTTCCTACCCCAGTCTCAGGTTTATCATCATGTTCAACACATACACACACACACAGAAACACACACACACACAGACACACACACACACTTCGCGACTTGTCGTCTGGCCCCCTTCATGTCGGCTTCGTGACCGACTCGGCCCGCCGATTCAAAAGGTTGCCGACCCCCGGATTAGCATATCGTTTGGGAACATTCGTTGAAGTTAACATCGCTGATCCCTGGTCCTCATATTGGTGGCTCCTAGACGAACATGGTAGATCACGTAATCCACACGCATATAATAGTGTGCTTTACCGGGAGAGTTTTTTTCTTTTCTTTTTTCTTCGCTTTAACTGAATGTTTTGCGTGTATTTGTGCGTGTGCTTGCCTGAAAATTTCTGGTATTCGGCAAAAAAACTAAAAGAATCCGTGTTCATTTTTAAAAAATTCCTATTGATAAAATAGTATTAGCCCAAAAAGTTTTAAATTATTTTGAACTTTCATTGTCTCGTCAATTTGAAAGTTCCAAAATAATTGGTGGTATAGTTTGTGGCTAAAGGAGCTATCGGTGATTAGGGCTTGTGGAAGTCGGCAATCACCGAAATGCTACGAGCAGTAATCCTTTATAGTCTCACTGCGTTAAGTAATCGGATTGTATACTTTTTGTTCTGCAGGGCGTGCGCCATATTTAGCTGGACGGACTGCTTATCCGAGAGAAAGATCCACGGGAGTCCGGAGCCCTGTTCACAAGATCCTTAGAGCACACGGAGCAAGGATAGAAAGTAGCACCGAACAAGTGAGTACTAGAGCTCCTGCTCGCGTCACGCGGCTTTTTCTAAGCCAATTGCGTCCAATGCATTGAGAGAGAACGGGCGCCAAAAAGGCAGAATCGCCAGCTGGTTCGCTCATTATTTTACTGCCTTTGGTTTATAGCCTTAGGCGCACTTACAATGTCCCACACATGTCGATCCTTTCCGGTTGTAACTGCGGACGCGCAAGCAGATCATCGCATGGAGTTCATGCCGGGATGCCACAAGGAGGTGGAAGTTTCAAGACCCGCGAGAGCAGGCTTCTCGAGCTTCCAGATAATCAAACGAAGAGACCGTCATTAAGAAACAAGCCTCCGAACGGATTGAAAAGCCAATTCCTCAGCATTCGGAAGACAGTTACGAGCGAACACGTACTGGCTACAAATGCTCGTCGTGATCATCTACGAGCACATTGGTAGCTACTCCGTGGTGGGTTGAAACTGTTTAAACATCTGGCATAAGTGGCCGCTTCTATACCGAGTCCGGTTTTCCAAAAGGCCCGCCCGAGTGCTTGAGGCACGCGACAGCGACACGTCCGAATTGCACGCGCGTACTCCCGCTGACCAGTAAGCATGCAACTCTCACCTCCGTGGAGGCTGCGACGCGTCCGGCGAAGCGCTGGCATCGTCTGTGGGCATGCCACTTGGCAGGCATGGGGTTCCGGACGCCTCGCGAGCTCCCAGCGTCGCAGGAAGCGGTCACTGTTTCGTGTGGCGCGGTCACGAGCCCCGCGCGTCTTCCGCCTTCGTCCGATGGGTGGGAGCTTATAAACGCGCGATGCCTTCCGCTCTCTCAGCTGGCAGGCCCGATAAGCTGTCCGCGACGGCCGACGTCGACGGAACGTCGATCGCGGCCAGGAGAGCCCCCGGCTCTGCGCTGTTGTAAATCGCCGCGCGCCGTTTATCAGCGGTTCGTTTACAGCGTCGCCCCGTCTGCTACAGCTTGGCCAACGCTTGTATGTCCGCCGCCGGCCGGGGATGCCCGCTCCGGTCTGTTTCTTCGCATCAGGTTCACATCGCTTCAGCTTTGTTGTCTTTGTTCGAGGGTCCTCGACGACGGTCCTTGACTCGCGGCGTGGCAAGGACGACCATTGACGCTCTCGTATCTCGAGCACCGAGGCTGCTCCCAAGGGGTCGGTGAAGCTGCGCTGTCGAGCGAAGCCGAGATGGAACGTCCAGGACAATGGGGCCAGCATTCCAGTTAGCCGTGGCATCGGAGGATAAAGTCGCACGAGCTCGTTGGGAAGGCCCAGCCGGTGGCGCGTGGCTTGGAAGCGGTTTTTTTGCATATCGATCAAAGCCGCCGAATACCCGTTTTATGGACATTAGAGGGCTTTCGAAGCAAACTGCTTCTCTAAATAATCGGCGAATCAGCTCGCGATCTCGACGCTACACGCGTCCATGGGCGTGCGCTTGTTCGCCGATTCTCGATTAGCGCTGAGATTTCTCGGTGGCGCCCTCTTATGGTTCCTGTTCGTGAGGTCGCTACCAGGATTTGCCTTGCCGTAACGTCACAAGTTGCGTTCCTGGCTACTTATCACCCGTTGAGAACGTCAAGTTCAATGGTGTGGGTAAAAAGCACGGTAGAAGCACGGAGTGTGCTTGGAAGCATGGCGTTCTTAAACCAGCACCGTCAAAGTTGACAGTTTGAAATTGGGCTTATTTCCGTCGATGAAAGCTTGAAATTGGGTCTATTTCCGTCCATGAAAGCAGAATTCATCAAACTAAAGTTGCCATAGTGACGTACTTGGCTACGTGCGGAGAGTTGACCACAGTCAACGTTACTGGATCGGAGAAGTTGACAAGCTCCGAGAAAAAAGTGACGCGCTGCCATTCACTGCCGCGTAGCGGCGCTCGTGTCCAAGCCCGCCCGACCCGTTCGGTCTGACTAGCCTCGGTACCCGTGGATACGCCGTGAAACATCGTTTTTGTGTGGGTTCACGAAATGTATTCCTAAGGACTGTTGCCAGTGTGATAACGCCCGGATTCAGACAACCTTTCCTGGGGCTTTTGAGATAAATTTACGCCCGCCGGGCCTTCTTAGTTTTGGCAGTTTTCCGACATTCGGCACCAAGGCACGCAGCTCGAAGAAATGGCTGCGTCTATGGACTCCGTGCGACGCGACTGGCGCGCCGCCGCGCGGCCGGTAGCGAAGGTAGGCAGTGAGAACCCCGGAGAAAACGAAACCGAAACCACGCTTCGTACGTTGGTACGCATTGAAGTCGGAGTGGTGCGGTTGCGCTGGGTTCACAGCATGAAGTGCTGCCTGTGCTGCGTCATTAAGTGCTTCAATAGTTATGCGCCGTATCTCGTGGAGACAAAGTTTCACAGTTTTTCAGCTCGCCGATGTTTTCTGGGACAGCGACAACGATGGAGCCGTGCCGTACGACGCGAGAAATTTGGTCTCCCGATCATGTCTGCCACTGTGTCATCACGGATGACATATTCTACACTGCCGCTTTGCGCTCTGCGTTTGTTTTTGTACCAGTAACGCCTACATGTGTAAGCGCCGATGGGACGAATTGAAATGCCATCCCACACTCGCGGGTATGAAGTGCCAATTTCGTTGGAGGAATGCCCTCCAAAGAAGTTTCGTCCCCATCGTACGTGTCATTGATATTTCCGGACAAGTATGGCGCGCAGTCTGTACTTCATGAAGAAAGATTCGAACGGTAAAAGAAGTGACAAATATAAATCTAAAGAAAACAACAATGAAACTCGAAATCACTGGGGAATCGACGTTTGAGTATGGAAGTTTATGTGGTGTGCTTTCTTTCTGGATCAGCCTCCTTTTGGATGTGAAAACGCTGACACCCTGAGTTCTGTAGACAACAATTTTTTTTCTCGGCTTTAGAGTTACCTATCGCAAAGTGGTTCGAACTGGAAGTACCGTCCACTGGTCCCTTTTAGAGCGCAGCTCTTAGGGGCCCGTTTCCGGCTTGAGCGGCGTCGGCGTCGCCGTCGGCGTCGGCGTCGGCGTAACCGCGAGGTCACGTGACCCCCCGAGGTCACGTGACCCACGCAGGTCACGTGACACCCCTAGGTCACGTGACCCCCTTGAGGTCACGTGACCCCCTTAGGTCACGTGACCCCCAGAAGTCACGTGACCGCCTTGAGGTCACGTGACCCCCTAAGGTCACGTGACCCCCTGAAGTCACGTGACTTCTGGAGATCACGTGACCCCCTAAGGTCATGTGACCCTTCAGGTCACGTGACCCCCGAGGTCACGTGACCCCCGGGGTCACGTGACCCCCAAAGGTCACGTGAGCCCCTGAGGTCACGTGACCCCATGAGGTCGGTCACGTGACCCCTTAGGTCACGTGACCTCATGAGGTCACGTCACGTGACCCCCAGAGGTCACGTGACCCCCTGAAGTCACGTGACCCCCTTGAGGTCACGTGACCTCAAGGAGTCACCTATCCCTCAGTACGCTTCCATCTTCCTCCTCAAGAGCTGCGCTCTAACCGGCGTTACAGGGAATTGTAAACGGCTTTTTTACCTGTAAAATGTGCACCTCCCACGATGAGTGATGTTATCTTCACAGCCTTTGACGGTCAAAACTGGTTCCCATTTAGTTACGCCGCCCAAACTAAATTTCCGCCTGGTTTCGCTATGCCAACTCTTTTTGTTATAATAAGTGTTGTGCCAAGTGACGGTCATATCAAAGTACCCGTGCGCCGAAAATCAGCACCTCGTACAACAGGTTATTACACAACAGCTGACCGCAAAAGCCCTTGGCGGCCAAACCGTGTGTTGGCCGACAGCTTTGTTTTCTCGGCTTTGGAACCACCTTCCGTAAAGTTGTTTCAATTGGAAGTACAGTCCACCAGTCCCTTCCTACCTGTAAAGTCTCCACCTCCCACAATCAGTGGTATTCTCTTGCCTTTTCATGGTCAAAACCGGTTCCCATCGAGTTACGCCGCCCAAACCAAATTTTCACCTGGTTTCCCTATGCCACCTTTTTCTTTTTGTATAATAAGTGCTGTGTCATGTTACTGTCAAGTGCAAGCACCTGTCTGCCCAAATCTGTACTTTGCACAGCCCGCTATAACACATTTTGGGCCCAATATTGGATATCCCGTACAGCTTTATTTCTTTATTCGTTAGAAACATAACTTTCACACGTGCTGTCTTAAAGAAACTTGGCACTCTTCGTGCACAAACTTAGTGAACATCTCACTCGCCTCCAAATATCATCGTTCCAGCAGTCCTAGGTTTACAGCGACGAGCGAAATAAATTTCCCACTCAGAGCAATTATGGTGGCGGCCGTCTTGTTTTTCGGAAAATTGCTCCAACTCCTTTTTCGGCCGCAACTAGAGAAATTACCCCTAATAACTACTCAAACTCAATATATAAGAAGTGGAGAACAGCTAAATGCCCTTCTGCCCCGGCACTCATGCAACGTCACCCTCAACTTATCGGCTCAAAAAGCAAAAGTTTCGTCCGCGCGCGCTTCCGCCGCCACAGTTTGGCATGCGGAAAAGCGCCGCATGCTGCTGAACGAGCCTCACAGTCGAACGCCAGCTCCTCCGCTAGCGGCGCTGCGCGCGTTTTTCAAAGCGCCCCCTATAGTTCCCGCACGGAGTGTATTGAGGAGTTTCAGCGACGGTGTCACCGCCCTGGCGGCCGGTCGCCGAAAGAGAAAGAGGGGGATAGGTTGCTGGGCGTTGGCTTTGTGTAAATGCGTTGGCTGCGAACGTAGGCTTGTAAACTTTGGCAGCAAGAATATTACGCCGCTCTAGTGTTCCGGTACGAGAAACAGAGGTGACACGATCTGCTACGACTAGCTACGACCACCCGCCGCAACGATGCAGGCGTCGAAGGAGCGCAACCTGTGTACTACGCAGTCAGTCGCCGTCGCCCGACGCAGATCGTTTGGCATTCAGGGCTTTCCGCCCCGGGTTCTTCGTTTGTACTTGAAACCGAGTATTATTTCCGGTGCTTATGTATGTGCTCAGTGGCTGAATATGGACCTCATAGAGCAAGTCTTCAGACTCAACAGCGACTCAAAGTTGACGGCGGAGGTGCTTGCAGCAACGCTTTCGGTTGGTGCACGGGTGTGACGACTACACGGATAAATTTTAAGATTGCTGCTAGCAAGGTGGGTCATAGTCGCTTTATGTTAACACGATTTTAAGTGGAAGTACTCCGTGCAAAGGCGAATTTATCGCGTTTCTAATCCACCTTTGGTTTTGTTGTTGTTTTTACCAAGCACGACCGACTACTAAGGAAATGCTTCTGTAACGTACACGGAGTGAATGTCTTCGGCCTTACATCGCGGAACGCCCCACAAAAAGTCATGTTCGTTCAGCGAGAAAACTTCCCTTTCGAGTGACCTTCTTTGATTGATAATTTCTCCCGTATCTAGGTGCTCTAACCAACACGATCGATTAGGCTTGCTTCCCTAGTTAAGAAATTTTGCTGCCACATGTGGCACTATATGCTTGGCTCGATGTATGCCACTGGTGATATTGTGAATTGGTTTACTTCCAAAGCTAAAAGTGTAACAGGTGGAACCATTCAGTTTGCTAAAAATATGATGATATGGGAATTTCGTTGCATAACTAGCGTTTTACGTTTAAGATTGATAAGAAACATGCTCATGTGATGATGCATGTCCACAGCATAAGCTTTGCAGATCCAGAATGGGTGTGCTATAGGCTACAGCCTCAAGATTTTTAATGGACAAAATTGGTGATTACACGGCAATAAATATTGTGGTGGAAAACTGCCCATTGACTCGGTGAGTTTTGATCGTGACCATTGGTGTGCTGTTGGCAAATTAGGTAATGGCACGCCTTTTCCCTGACCATCTGGCTTCAA